TTTAACATTAGTTTTTTTCCGATTGGATTGTCTTAAAATAAAATAACCCAAATATACCAAACCTAAATTTTAATGTAAAAACTTATTTTCTGACAATATAATTCTTAGAGCATTCATGAATAAAAAGAAAATTCATTTTCTTAGTCTCCTAAGATAAATTATAAAAAGCATGAATTTTCCATAAAATAATGGAAATATCAGTATTCTTGATAGTAATTTCTGTCATCTTATCTACGCAAAAGAATAGACAAGAGAAAGAATTAAGTTTTTAGACTATATATGTCTTGATTATTAGATCAAAAAACAATCATTATTTTAGAAATTCTATAACCAAGAACTTCAGATATCATTAAATATAAATAACAGGCAAAATTATTATATGTAGGCTTATCAATTCTTATCAATTTGATTAGAATCAAATTATTAGATGTTATTCTCTATCTATGAACTTTTTAATATTGAACTCAAATATTAAAGATCTCAAATGGCTAAATTATAGAATGCTATAATTTTTTATCTGTTTAAAACTTTTAAACATAAAAATAAACTGCTATTTTAATAGGAAATAGATATATCCTCTTTTTCCTAATTATTAATGAATTTATTTTTTGAATAAAAATACTTGATTATCTTTAAATTCATTGGCATTAAAAAAATAAAGAGCTGTGATGGCTTGAGATTGTAAGGTGGTACTGTTGATATTACAGTTCATAAATTATTATTCAAGCCAAAAGAAAATTTATATGTAATTAAGTAATACCATCATCTCGTGGCTGTGAATTGGGGTCCATATATATTGAACTCTATTTTGAAGTAGTTTTTGAGTGAAAGAACAATTATTTAGATCATATTAATATGATGCTATAGTTCGTTTAGATAATTAAGAGATTATGAAATATTGAAAAGGAATTTAATTTTAATATCTTTAAGACATTCCATTATATGTTTATGTAGTAATTGTTTCTATCTAATTACCATTCTAATTAGTAGATTTAGTTATTTCTGTTCTTGTCCTTTCACATTTCTTTTTGCCTGTGATACTCAAATAAACTATTCATCCTGGAAATCTATCCTCAATAAATTTAAATATATCTTTCTTATATCATATTGTAAAGTTAATACAAGATATAATTTCACCTGCGAAATAAGAAGATTTTTACATTTAAATTAATACAACTCCCAACAATTTAGGTTATTTGTCAGATCTCTCTTCATTTTTAACCTAATAGTATATTATTGATTGATAAAATTTAAGTTAAATTTAACAATATCAAAATGCAAGATTCAGATAATTTTTAGTTGAGTATCTAATTATGATATTTTACAATTTTAATTGAAAATATTATACAATATGAAAAATGGAATAATTTTAAAGAGTTGTTTGTAAATCTAAAATTAATTTAAATAATATCATAAAGGAATTTTTTTGCTAATGTCAAACTAGGTCTCAGCTCAACTATGCCAATCATTTAGACTTGAAATATATGTCAAAACTTAAAAGTAAAATACTATCAAGTGTTTATGATGATTTGAAATTATATTTTTTAATTAATTTCATGATAAGATCATAAGCCTTATGCATTAAATTAAAACTTGCTTATTTAATTAAATAAATGGTCCATTGAAATATTGATTCTCTAAGTGAACGAAAATCATATTAAGTTTCTTGGTATTTTACTTGCTATTCATTGAATCTAATTAATTCATTATTGAAATTTATCATCAATGATTAGCATGAATTTGGTAGTTTTATTCAAAAATTCTAAAATTAATATTGTTATATCAGAATAATGGCTTAAATATTTTATTTCTAATTTCTTTGGATTTATTATGAAAATAATATCTACGAATTCTCATAAAAACAAAAATGAATATGATTTAAAATTATATTCATTATATTTAATTATTGATTGCAAAAAAATGTAGGTTATTCATTTAAATAATAAATGATGTTTTTATTTATTAAATGATTTATCCTAATATTAAGGAGCCCACTATTTATTAAATTTAAAGTAAAAATTCAAAACATATATTGTTATATATTCATTATAGATTCATTTGAAAGTTAATCACATTATACTTTTATTTTAAAAGTATTAAATGAAGTATGAAAAAATTGATTTCTGGTCTTTAATTAGATTAATCAATCTTAATTTGAATAACAATCAATTTTANCTTATATCATATTGTAAAGTTAATACAAGATATAATTTCACCTGCGAAATAAGAAGATTTTTACATTTAAATTAATACAACTCCCAACAATTTAGGTTATTTGTCAGATCTCTCTTCATTTTTAACCTAATAGTATATTATTGATTGATAAAATTTAAGTTAAATTTAACAATATCAAAATGCAAGATTCAGATAATTTTTAGTTGAGTATCTAATTATGATATTTTACAATTTTAATTGAAAATATTATACAATATGAAAAATGGAATAATTTTAAAGAGTTGTTTGTAAATCTAAAATTAATTTAAATAATATCATAAAGGAATTTTTTTGCTAATGTCAAACTAGGTCTCAGCTCAACTATGCCAATCATTTAGACTTGAAATATATGTCAAAACTTAAAAGTAAAATACTATCAAGTGTTTATGATGATTTGAAATTATATTTTTTAATTAATTTCATGATAAGATCATAAGCCTTATGCATTAAATTAAAACTTGCTTATTTAATTAAATAAATGGTCCATTGAAATATTGATTCTCTAAGTGAACGAAAATCATATTAAGTTTCTTGGTATTTTACTTGCTATTCATTGAATCTAATTAATTCATTATTGAAATTTATCATCAATGATTAGCATGAATTTGGTAGTTTTATTCAAAAATTCTAAAATTAATATTGTTATATCAGAATAATGGCTTAAATATTTTATTTCTAATTTCTTTGGATTTATTATGAAAATAATATCTACGAATTCTCATAAAAACAAAAATGAATATGATTTAAAATTATATTCATTATATTTAATTATTGATTGCAAAAAAATGTAGGTTATTCATTTAAATAATAAATGATGTTTTTATTTATTAAATGATTTATCCTAATATTAAGGAGCCCACTATTTATTAAATTTAAAGTAAAAATTCAAAACATATATTGTTATATATTCATTATAGATTCATTTGAAAGTTAATCACATTATACTTTTATTTTAAAAGTATTAAATGAAGTATGAAAAAATTGATTTCTGGTCTTTAATTAGATTAATCAATCTTAATTTGAATAACAATCAATTTTAGTTAATATATATTCAAAATAAAATTTCATCAAATATTTATATTTATGTTATTTGTTATTTGGTATTCGTTATATAGATTTATAATATTATTTAGAATATAAAAATCTACATAGATCTCTAAGGGATAAATATTTTATTTTATTGATTATGGCTTTTGTTTCATGTTAAACTACTTTAAAAAATCAGAGATCCTTGTATAAGTTTATTATTTTTTGTTGGCCTCTGGTTGCAACAATTTAACATGTTTAATGTTTGGATTTAATATATACTACAGAGTTTACATCTTAAGATGGTAAATATCAATAATGATACATAAGATTGGATGATAATTTAAGATTCAATAGAATTTAAGTTCAGATGTAATTTTTGAATGTTGGGATCAAAATATTTTTGGTGGTATGTCCAATATGGTGATCGCGAAAAACTTTTTTCTTCCTCCTCATTATTTGGTTGAGATGAGATTTGATGTTTATGAATTTTCTTGGCATGATATTCACTTAGTTTTGTTCCTAGATGATAAGGAGTTCTATTTTAATTATTAAAGGAATACTTTTTTTACATGTGATAGTAATTATATGAGTTAATACTATATTTCGACCTCAAACTTTCATTTTGGTTCAACTCTTTTAATTAAAATTTTTCATGCTTCTTATTCAGATCCATCCGATTATTGGGGAATTACTAATTTTGAATTATTCATTCTTTAATGTCCTTCAAAATGTCATTCTTGTAATGAGGTTGGAATCTGCAATGATTGGACTTTAAGATTCAAGCTAATTGTTGTAGGAGAATCAATTGAATATTTTTCGAAAATATAATTAAATGATTAGGAAAATAATTAAGATATTTTTAACTTCCATCCTTTTTGCATGAGTATTTGATTTGTGGATAATTTTAAAAGATTTAAACTTTTGATGAGTAATTTCAACATAATATTCCTGATTTATTGATATCAATATAAATATNTGGCTTAAATATTTTATTTCTAATTTCTTTGGATTTATTATGAAAATAATATCTACGAATTCTCATAAAAACAAAAATGAATATGATTTAAAATTATATTCATTATATTTAATTATTGATTGCAAAAAAATGTAGGTTATTCATTTAAATAATAAATGATGTTTTTATTTATTAAATGATTTATCCTAATATTAAGGAGCCCACTATTTATTAAATTTAAAGTAAAAATTCAAAACATATATTGTTATATATTCATTATAGATTCATTTGAAAGTTAATCACATTATACTTTTATTTTAAAAGTATTAAATGAAGTATGAAAAAATTGATTTCTGGTCTTTAATTAGATTAATCAATCTTAATTTGAATAACAATCAATTTTAGTTAATATATATTCAAAATAAAATTTCATCAAATATTTATATTTATGTTATTTGTTATTTGGTATTCGTTATATAGATTTATAATATTATTTAGAATATAAAAATCTACATAGATCTCTAAGGGATAAATATTTTATTTTATTGATTATGGCTTTTGTTTCATGTTAAACTACTTTAAAAAATCAGAGATCCTTGTATAAGTTTATTATTTTTTGTTGGCCTCTGGTTGCAACAATTTAACATGTTTAATGTTTGGATTTAATATATACTACAGAGTTTACATCTTAAGATGGTAAATATCAATAATGATACATAAGATTGGATGATAATTTAAGATTCAATAGAATTTAAGTTCAGATGTAATTTTTGAATGTTGGGATCAAAATATTTTTGGTGGTATGTCCAATATGGTGATCGCGAAAAACTTTTTTCTTCCTCCTCATTATTTGGTTGAGATGAGATTTGATGTTTATGAATTTTCTTGGCATGATATTCACTTAGTTTTGTTCCTAGATGATAAGGAGTTCTATTTTAATTATTAAAGGAATACTTTTTTTACATGTGATAGTAATTATATGAGTTAATACTATATTTCGACCTCAAACTTTCATTTTGGTTCAACTCTTTTAATTAAAATTTTTCATGCTTCTTATTCAGATCCATCCGATTATTGGGGAATTACTAATTTTGAATTATTCATTCTTTAATGTCCTTCAAAATGTCATTCTTGTAATGAGGTTGGAATCTGCAATGATTGGACTTTAAGATTCAAGCTAATTGTTGTAGGAGAATCAATTGAATATTTTTCGAAAATATAATTAAATGATTAGGAAAATAATTAAGATATTTTTAACTTCCATCCTTTTTGCATGAGTATTTGATTTGTGGATAATTTTAAAAGATTTAAACTTTTGATGAGTAATTTCAACATAATATTCCTGATTTATTGATATCAATATAAATATAATTTGACCATATACTTAGTATTGATCCTTATTTCGGAATATTAGATTTCGAAATATTCAGTGATGCTCTAATAGTTGAGGATATAGATATTTGTAATGATCAGAACATTAATCCGTTTGATGGATGTTTTAATTTACAATTTGATTGTTGTGAAGGCTGTAGTAATTGCGTAAATGGTCAGTGTATAGAATGTAATATTAATTGGTTGTATGATCCTATAAATTATAATTGTTATAGTTACTGTGGTGATGGCATAATTGTTGGATTAGAGGAATGCGATGATTCCAATTCCATTCCTTATGATGGTTGTTATTAATGTCAATTCTCATGTCCTTTAAATTGTATTCAATCTTAGTATGGTTAATGTTAAATTTGTAATGCTTTATTTTAATAGATTAATAATAATTGTATCCTACATTGCCTTAATAATAAGAGTGGTAATTTGATAAATTATTAAAATATGAATATAATGACTGAATGTTTACCTATTAATCATCATTGCTTATTAAAATGCTTTGAGTTTTATTATTCATTTTGCATAACATCTTTGCCTGATTGGAATTTAATTAATTAATAATGTATTTATGAATGTGAAAATGAGGTAGTAGCAGATTTTAATGATTATTGTAGTGATGATAATAATGAAATTTAGATTAGTGTCATAGTTGTAAATATTAATGTTAAGAGAGTTGTATTGATTGTCTTGATGGAACATGTTTATAATCATACTTTGAAGAACTCAAAATTGAAACTTGTAATTTTGGATTTTATTAGATTGATAATAAATGTTTGTCTATTTGTGGAGACTTAATTGTAGCTTCAGATGAAAAATGTGATGATTAAAATAACGAACCTTTTGATGGATGTTTTAAATGTTAATTATCATGTCCATTAAACTGTTAAGGTTGTTTTGATGGATAATGCATAAATTGCGAAAATGGTTATTTCTTGGAAAATAATAAATGTTAAGAGCAGTGTGGAAACGGCATAAAGACTCAGAATGAACAATGCGATGATGGAAATATATTTATTGAGGATGGATGCTCAGAAATATGTTAAATAGAAATCTTTTGGAAATGTATAAATGATTAAAAGTTTTCAAATTAATAATCCAACTGTAGAAATACAATTTTTGAATACCACTTTTAATAAATAATTTATTTTAATTACAAGTTCTCAATAAGTAAGATTAACAGAAAACCATCAAAACTTAACCTAAAACCTTAAAACTTAAATTATAAATGTTAGTCGCCTGGATTATAATATAACTTTTGATGTTGAAGCTGAACCAACTTTTGAAGAACCAAATGAAATTTAATACTTATTTACTATTGAATTTCTAAAATAATTAGAAGTTGAACTAATTTTTCACATTTAATTTAATATTACATTGGTCAATAATTATGGTTTAGAAATATTGAAAAAAGAATATTAAATTAAATTGACTAATCCTATTGTGTTAAGCAAAGCTTAGAAGGATCTTTCAAAAAATACAGGTAAATTTAACATAATAATGTTAATAATACTTGGTATTTCAGGATTTATAATTTTATTATCTGGTAACCCATAGGATTGTTTTGAAGTGCTTGATGCTTTATAATATTAATCATTTCTCAGATTTATTAATATTGATTTTCCAGAAAATCTCTTTATATATTTTGAATCTTCAGAATTCATTTCAATTCAACCATTGTTAGTTAAATTTAATTTAGTTCATTTATTTTAATAAATATTTGGTTCAGAATTTTTAGAGTCATTTGGAAAGTTTTACTTTTACTAAATTAATGCAGATTTACTTATTAATTTACAAAGTTAAATTTGGTAAATTCTAGTTTTGTTGATTCTATTTATCTTTTATATTCTTTATAAGAAGATTTTTTCAAAGCAATTTTTCTCATCAAGACAATTAATTTAGATTTAAAAGAGAAATTCTCTAATTTTAAATAGAATTGTAATTTTTCTTTATTAAATCAACAAAATTATTTTAGGATTAGACAAAATATATACAAAAAAGGATTGAAACTATTGTTTTTAGCAAATAGTTGGGATGTTCTTTTTAAAATAATCCTATTTCTTTATTCCAAACCCTAATATTCTTTAAGAACCTATCTTTCGAGCACATTTGGTATAATAATAATGATATCTCTTATTTTTATTTCTCTATTTTGCATGTTTGGCACTTAATAGAATAAACTATTTAGGTTTTCAAAAATATGCAGAAATTAAGGCCTGATTGTTATTAAAAAAATTTTATTCCTTTTTTTTTAATCAAGGCATAAGATAACTCAATTCTTCAATGCCTTTTATTAACTTTAATAAATTCATTTTACCTTGGTATAACTTTAATATCAAAGCTTATGAAAAACAAAGTTGATATAATAGTAACCTTCTGGTTTGGATTACCAATAATAATCTTTACATTTTCTTGCCTTACTCATCATAATGACTTTGTTAAACATTTAACCAATGATTAATAAGTTTTTATAGGATTTTGTTAAATAGGGATTTTATGCTTTGGATTAATATCTCCATTAATTAAATATAGTTACATTCTCATCAAGAAAGGCATAGATTATGTAAAAAAGAGATAATAACTCATAATAGCATAAAAAGAAAAGAAAATTGTATTAGAATAAATGTTTTTTTGATTTATCAATTGAATAATTAAATATCTGAATGACTATAAGATGTATATTGATATATTTTATAATTTTTTTATGCCAAATTTAAACTTCTTACTCATAGACTAAATTTAAAATTACATAGCTCTTTCAAATACAACTTTAGGTGTGTATCCTCCTCAAATGTTAACCTTAGCATAAAAAACTCTTCTATTCAATTATAAGGTAGCTTTTGAGGATTAAAATATAAACTTATGAAAAATAATAAAAATTATGAAATTAATATAATATTATATTATCATTTCAGCTACATTTTGATTGATGAAACCATCTGAATATTTAATTATAATTTTTGGGAATTTATAGTTTTAAGTTTCTTAAGTGAAAATATCTGCTATTATGTTATGCTAATACATACGTCTTTGAAATTCTTTTATATCTTTTTGTCATCTTGACGATAAGTGTGGCTTAGTAAATATTGTATTTTGTGATGAATATAGTTAATATGATGTGAATTATTATAGTAAATTTATTACGAATACCACCTTTCTAACAGCTCAAACGACATTTTGGCTGAAAAAAGAGTGCTTATTATTGATGATGATCATACTGTAATGAGTTCATTGGCAATTCAAAAAGACTCAGACTCATAACTGCGAATGGAAATTCAAACAAAGTTCTGATAAAAAGTTTGCAAACTAATAAGGATTCCTTTTTAGAAATGCATTAATGTAAAGCATTTTGAATGTATATACTATCATCATCATTCCTTTTAAAGCTGAAAACGGAAATAATTTAGCTGCCTATATTTTAGAAACAGTAGATGTTTTCATCTCCCCTCCATAAGATTATGCTATTTTGTATATATTGATTATCATTTTTGATATTCAAATTTCTGATCAAAAAAACCTAATAAAATCAAGTAAATAAAATAAAATGTATTTTTGGCTTATCAATTCTTAAAATTAACAATAATATTGTGAATGACAGATTTACTTTATGTTCATTTTTGCATTTGACAAAAATGAGAAAATGGTATTAAATTCGATCGAATAAGCACTTTGAAATTATTCTCAAATTATCATATAAAAGAATCAAAAACAGAAATTCATTGTTATACCATTTAAAACGGTTGAAGATTTTTTTTGATTATTATAATAAAAGATATTCATCTTTCAAAAATATCATCATAAATTGAGCTTCTTGTTTTTGGATTAGGTTTTTTATCTCCCAATAAACTTTGAAAAAATAACAATTTGCCATATTTGTTACAGTCTTAAAATGTAAAGGAACAGAGGTAGAAAATAAAATTCAATATATAATTACCTGATTTTACTTTAAGCCTTAAACTATAGAAAAAAACTCTCAGTAACTCGAAGCTTAAATAGAAAACTGAATTTGGAGAATCATTAAGAAAGTTTAAAACAATTTAGTATTACTTCTTTTTGTGAATTACTAATTTGATAATTAAATAAAGAATAGATTTGTTTAAATTGGGAGTATTTCATCAAATTTTTTTTCAGAGTTTTAAAAATGGTATAGTTGGTAAATGGGAAATATATGACACTTAAAACAATTATAAATATGGAGAGATAAATTATGACATAAGAAAAATTATTATAATGATAATAATTGAGATAAAATTTTGTTTGAAAATAATTTAATAAATTATTTTGTTTAAGTTTTTGGGTTTTAACATATTTTTAGGTATTGATTTTAAAATTAGATAGATAGATAAATAGATAATTCTGAATTTTTAAATAGCTGCATACATTAAGTCATTAATTTAAAAATACTGATTATATATATTGAAAATTATTGTTGAAAATTGCCCCTTTTGATGAATGTAGGTTAATCAGTAAGTAAGATCTTGAGATGGATATTTCTTCTAATTTATCTTTCAGGATAATAGAAATTGAATTACTTTTCTTCCTGTTGATATCAATTGATAAAGATCAATCAAAGTTTATCATAATATTACCAAGAATAGAGGAGTTTTTTTTGTTTAAATCATTCAATCTATCGATTTTAACTTTTTATAATTTAAATTAATTCTAGGATTAACTTTATTTTTTTTAAATTCTTGATGTATCTTTCTTCTTATCCAAATCAATTAAGTATATCTATCGTATAATATCCTAGATGAATTATAAAGAATGTTGAGTTAAATTAGTTTTCTTTAAGTAGATATATCTCACTTTATTTTAATCTTTTCATTTTGCTTACTGTTCTCTGTTTAGATTATTAATTTAAGGCAGTATCAATTTTAAATTTCTTTAAATATTATTTGAGAACAGTTTTTATGATATCTCCTTGAATATTCCCTAAACTAAACTGACCATATATTCTAATAAAATCAAAAATAAATAAGGTATATATAATTGAAATGGAATAAAACTTTGAAAAATAAGAACTTACCTAGAAGATGAAGAGTGGAACTAATAAAGACATAATTAATAAATATTATATACTAATTAAATTTTTATTTCAATTTTTGTTGATAAATTATCAACATCACTTTTACTAAAATTCTTCTAAAATGCTGCTTCCTGAGGATTTGAATAATGGTCTTAGATCGTATCCGTCATAATTTAGAAAATCTCCTTTAAAGATTAAAGCTCCTTATGCTTGAAATAATGGTGTTTAAGATATTCTTAGAATTGTAATATTGTTGGATTCTAAAAAACAATAAGAAAATAAATACCTGGTTTAGGATTATTTAAAAAAAGTGGTGCTTTATATTTAGCAAGAATATCTTTATATATTTTGTAAGCGGATGAAATTTCATTTCCATTCTAAACGTCCCATAGAAGAATAGACTCATCATCACTTCCAGAAGCTAATGTATTTCCATCAGGAGAGAAACAGACTGACATAATTAAATTACTATGACCATTTAATTAGGCTTTTTATTATCCTGTTTTGACATCCCATAGACGGATAGAATCATCATCACTTCCAGAAGCTAATGTATTTCCATCAGGAGAGAAGCAGACTGATCTAACATAATCGCTATGACCATCTAATTTGTATTTTTATTATCCTGTTTTGACATCCCATAGGCGGATAGACTTATCATCACTACCAGAAGCTAATTTATTTCCATCAGGAGAGAAACAGACTGAGTAGACATAACTAAAATGACCATCTAATTTTGCTTTTTATTATCCTGTTTTGACATCCCAAAGACGGATAGACTTATCATCGCTACCAGAAGCTAATGTATTTTAATCAGGAGAGAAACAGACTGATCTAACATAATCACTATGACCATCAAATTTGACTTTTTATTATCCTGTTTTGACATCCCAAAGACGAATAGACTTATCACCACTACCAGAAGCTAATTTATCTCCATCATTAGAGAAACAAACTGAGTAGACAGTGCCAGTATGAGCATGTAATTCGGCTCTTTTCTTTCTTGTTTTAACATCCCATAATAAGACAGACCCATCATTACTACCAGATGCTAATGAATTACCATTAGGTGAAAAACAAACTGACCAAACAGTTCCTCTATGAACATCCAATTTGGTTTTATATTATCCTGTTTTGACATCTAGAAGATGGATAGATTGATCATTACTACCAGAGGCTAAGGTATTTCCATCAGGAGAGAAACAAACTGATTTAACACAATCACTATCTAATTTATATAATACAGGGATTTTTAAGTTTCTCCATTTACAATTAAATAATAATGCTCCATTTAGGTTTATTCCACTTATATTGACATTATTAAATTAGGATTCACTAAAATTACACCTAGCAAAATTTGCTGCTTCTAGCGAGGTATTTTTGATCTTAATTTTTTCAAATTTTTAATTTCTTAGATCCTCCTTTGTCTTAACTAATATATGTAAGGAATTAGACCCACATTAGATCAAAGTTTTATCTATGGATGTGATTTGAACTAAGAATAACAAAAATTCAATGATCCTTCTATTATCCTTGATGCTTTAAATTAGACTTAATGTTGATTCTTCATTTTCAAAAGAAGAAAAGTCTTAGTAATTGAAGTCATGATCTTTTATTTTTTTTAAGACATCTGTAATTTATTTCATCTCATTTCCAATAACAGCCAATTTCTATTGTTTATCAACTTGGGTGATATTCTCTGCCTGTTGTAAGATTTATGATTCTAAATATTTTTGATTTCTATAATCAGAAAGATATCCAATGCAATCTTAAACTTACTCTTTTAAAAGTATTTCTATTAGGACACCAAAGAGTAGTTCATTTACATCCTTAACTTAACTAAGTATGTCAGCTATGGCTTCCTACCCTTAAAAAGAGCCTGACATTTTCTTTTTTATTTTGAATAATTAATTTCGATTACTCTAACTTTAAGTTATATTCTTCAAAATCAATAAAAGTGTCTTGTGCAATTTTGTAAATTAGAAGTCCAGTCTTTGTGTAGATTCGGAATTGATTATAATTTAGAAAAAATACTGAGGATTCAATTCTAAATTTCATTCTTTGATTCTTTAATAATATAGAATAACTTATTTATTGTTAATAATGTAAATGATATGCAATTACTAAATTTGGATGATCACATCTTAAAATTCAAAAAATGAATATTTGAACATTAGCTTTTGCGAAACTTATTATTCTTTAGAACTAATTGGCTTTAACTTTTTAAAGTTTAGATTAATTCTAGGATTGACTTTATTTTTTATAATTCTTAAAAATATTCGTTATATATTATATCTTTTACTATTTATAAAGTAAAAATCTAAATTTAAGAAACTATTAATGATATCTTATAAAACTAATCCCGTTTATAATTAGTAACGAATTATGTAAATCTATCATATAATATACTAGATGATTTAAAAAGAATGTTGAGTTAAATTAGTTTTCTTTAAGTAAATATATCTCACTTTATTTTAATCTTTTCATTTTGCTTACTGTTCTCTGTTTAGATTATTAATTTAAGGCAGTATCAATTAAAATTAAATCTCTTTAAATATTATTTGAGAACAGTTTTTATGATATCTCCTTGAATATTCCCGACACTAAATTGACCAAATATTTTAATAGTATTTAAGTAAAGGAAGTGTACATAAAACTAAAATGGAATAAAAATTTTAAAAATAAGAACTTACCTAGGTTTAGAAGTGAAGTTGAAGAGTAAAATCTGATAAAGAAATAATTAATAACAAATATTAGTTATAGATTGTAATTATGATTTTTATATTGTTAATGAATAATCAGGTTCACTTTTCCTTTAAGTCTTTTAAAGTTATTGATTTATTAGAAGATTCTTTAACTTATTATTCAAAGCGAATTTCATTAATATATAATATTGACAAGTTTTCATAAATTATTCTTAATCCAAAATCAATAACTTAATTAAAGAAAAATCAAGAATAAACTTTACAAATTTTATTTTCAAAGAAACATAAGAAGGAAGATTTAGAATTCAAGATTAATTGTTATGATCCATAAATTAAAAAATAAATTTCTTATGAAATTAAAATTAATCTAAAAAGCTCCAAAATAATGGATATTTTCGGTAAAACACCTGCTCATAGACTGATAAGATATTATAAAAAATCGATATCCTAATAAGCTAAATAAATGGATATAGTTAAGGTAAATCAAAAATCCCTAAAAAATTTAGATATTATAAATTTTTCATTAGAAAATCAAATTCTGTGTTTGAAAACAGCATTTATTTGTGAAGTCTTAAATGAAAAAATTTGTAAGAATTAATTAAGAAAAAGCTCGAGTTTAAACCATAATCAAAACATGTATATCAAAGAAATGCTGTAGATAAGCTAAACTATAAAAAAATCTGTATAGGCGGAAAAACAAGATTAATTATTTGGTATCAAAAGTTTAATGTAACAATTGCCATTGGTAAGGAGAATTAAGATGGATTCTCATGAGGAAGAAGATACTCAAAAAATAAATTATTAAGATTTATTAAATATTTCAAATAATAAGTAGAATATTAATGATTCTGAAGAGCTTATACTAAGTAAGAAATGCTTAAAAATGGAAGAAAGAGAAGTATCTAATGTGCTATAAAGCCAAAAATACTTTAAGAGGATTAGCAAATGTTATCAAATTTAGAATTAATTGACTGCTTGTAAGCAAATGGTAGTTTCCTCTTAGAAACACATATTGAAGATTAATTAAAATTAGGTAAAATAGATAATAAATATTATTTAGAAGATTTATATTGGCCAACAATGGTTTCCCTTTTATTTAAAATTATTTTGTCAGGATTCTAAGAGTCCTTGGTAATTATTTAATAAAGCCATAAATTATTTGTAAAAGAAAGGAGTTAATTATTTATTGAAAAAAGAGAGAGCATTTCAGATTATGAAAAACTTTTTAACAATGCAAAAGTTAGAAATATAAAATTAAATTATATTCTAAACAAACAAATTAATTAAGATCATTTTATTTTATTGATATTCTTATTACTCCTTAAATCTATTAATTCATTTAGCTGAATTCAACTTTTAAATATACATAAATTAACTAATTCTCCACTTTTTATTACAATCTTTTAAATAACTACTTCAGATTTTAATCATTATGAATTATTGTCGATAACTAATATTTCTATTTAATCACTCATTCTCTATATATTTTAAACACTCCAAAATCTATAATTAATAATAAAGATTATATACAGCTAAAATATATATAAATACTGGTTGTTACACATATAAAAATGATCAGAAAAATAAACCATTATCATTTGAGTTCACAGTTAATAATTAAATAATATTTGAATTTAAATGAAACCCTTTAAATTAATACAAAATATGATTTGTAAACGGTGAGTATAAAATAGATTATTCAGAACTTAGATCAATTTTTTTATTGATAATAAAGATAACTTTTTAAGTAAATATTAGATGGCAGAGTAAAATTATAATGACTTAAATTTAATGCCACATTTTCAAACTATCATATGTACTTTAGTCAATAGAGAATTGTAAAAAAAATCCCAAACGAAATATTTGTTGAAATAAAAATTGATGATCGGGAGATTATTAAATATAATGTATTTGATATCTAGATGAATATTTGGCTTTCCATAATGAGGGATATTCAAAATTAAATGCATAAGAGCTATACCATAACTTACTTAAATAATTTATAATTTTGAGGTGTTTAAAAAAATTAAAATATCTGTCCCAAATGCAAAATATTCCATCTTTCAACTTTTTTCCCATTGTTATATTCACCATCTTAAATTATTTATTAACTCTTCTCGAAATTATCCAAAATTTCCACCCAATAGCCAAATTTTAATTCATCACCTGCTTCATCATATGATCCGCCACCATTAAACTTTTCGATAATATTTTATCATTTTTACGTTTTAAATGAAAAAAAATAATTATCACATCTACCAAGTTTTTTACATTTTTTTAATCACCTTTGTACTTTATTTATTAAAGACTTGAATAAATACATGTATTCTCGATACATACTTTTTTTTATAGAATAGGGTTTGGG